GAGCAACGCCCGGGTCTGAGAGCTAGTCATAAATAATATTAAATTACAAATGTAAAAAATTGATTAAAAGAGTTTTTATGCTAATTGAAAAAAGAAATTAAAAAAAAATTATAACCTTTTTAATATCAGTTTGAACATTTCAATTTCTTGAGATGAACCAAATATTTTGTTAAAATCTTCTGATACTCTTTTTGTTGTTGGTTTATCATCACTAACCGCACGGGTTGATATATCTACTGCACTTGTATTATTTATATTATTTATTTTAGTTTGATCGATTTGATTATTTATAGAACTACCTATCAAAGGATCAGATGAGGTTGACAGATTTAAATAGTGAGATGGTAAATCTAATGAAGAATATTGAGAAGGTTCTTTTAAATGGACGGGTTCAGGATAAACTAAATGAATATCTTGATTATTTTTTTGATTGTTAAGAGTTATATCGTGCTTGGAATCACCATTTCCAACCAGAGAAGAATAGATATTAGACGCATTGCCATCAAAAGTACTAATCGGTGATATAATATCAAGCGAAATTACTCGCAAAGAACTTTTTGGAGGAGAGAAAAGTTTAATCAATAGCATGTATCTTAACCATTCTAAAAAAGAAGGTTGTGAAACCAAATAATTATTATTGTTTTTGTTATCATTATCATCATGATTATTATTATTAGTTATATCATTGATAATATCGCTTTTGTTGATATCAGCATTATTGCAATTTAGAGTTTGCAATTCAATAATACTATTGGATTTTCCTAGCATATTGAACTCATCTGTAACGGACTTGTTATAAGATCGATGAGGATAATGAGACTCATAAGAGTTAACATTAGTGATCCACCAATGTAATTTAATATCCTGGAAAGCACGAGTAACAGCAATATCTTGAGAAAATACCAAAGCATTCAGCAATCCTGTGATGCAAAAGATTAGATAAACAAAATAATCAAAACTTAATCAAATTGTAAGAAGGAAAAAATGACACATAATATACCTTGAATTGATATGCCAATGAAACAAAGTAAAAGTAGAGGATAAGAGACCTCACGATTAATATAAGCGAACGTTTCAACTAAAGAGCTAAACACTTGAGCTACCAATGGTACCACAGGATACCACACGACCCTTCTAACAATCGAAGAGACCATTGTCTTATTAATTAAGGTAGTATGAACAGATAACTGAGAAGTAGAAGAATTCAAAGCATCAACATTCTTGGTTACAGATCCGAGTTTTCTGATGACCATAATAACAACAATCGCACAGTACAATATGGATAAATCTACCCAACCGAAAAAAGTAATCCATTGCCATATTATATTTTGTTTTTGACCCGAATGACGATACCAACAATGGCTATAATAAATATTATATATAATAAATATGAATATATGAAATAAAATGTTATAAATATACTGTATATACATATACGCTTCTTATAGAAAAGTATTCGCCCTACCTTAAATTATCTAAATCAAAATAAAATCATGAATTTAATCACTATTATAAAATTTATTATCTAGTAAAAAGTGTAGTGGTAATTAAAATTCACGATATTATCTTTAATTCAGATAATTTAACGTTGAATACTATTCTAGAGGGAGTGAATATGCACTTAACTATATGTAATAATAAATATCTTACTTTTCAGGATAATCATAACCATACATATTACCAGTAAAAGGAAGGAGAGAAAGTAAAAGGGCAAAAGAAAATGAAATTATAAAATAAAATTTTTCAAAATTATATCTACTATATTCGTTTACAAATATTATATGAAGGTTCTAAAATAAAAGAAAAAAAAATTGATATATATATATATATATGTAAATACGGAGAAATATAATTATAATACATACCAAAGCAATACAAACGATGAAAAACATAGATATAAGAGTGAAAAATACCATTGCCCAAGCCTTATATATATAAAAAGATCCGAAGGAAATTAAAGCAATTTAAATTTATAAAAATGTCGAAAAAAAAGTTATTGGATATCGAAAAACTGATAATAATAGATGCCTTACCATGTATCCACAAAGAATTCCGGGAGTATTTGGCCAAATAAAAACGCCTAAAAGATGGCCAGAATAACATATATCACAGAATAAGGCCGCAAAAGTTAAACGAAATGAAACCCGATCTGCGAGTTTAGGATAGTGTATTCGTATGAAGCCAAATGTTATGCATGATATAAATGAAGAAATGAGAGAAATAATATTCAGTGGAACACATAAGTTAGATATAGTGATGAATTGCTTGTAAGATATAGAGATGAATGGCTTCTCTGCTTCTGAAGCGGTAAGAGTCATTAATAATGTTTTGGTAGAGTACTAGATAAAAATACATCCAATAT